TCGCGAGTAACGCCGCCCAACGGCTGGGCAACGTGAATACGGCGAAGCAGCTCACCGAGGCGGCCAGAAGGCTCGCCGGCGCTGTTGGTACCAGCCTTGAGCTTCTCAGCGTTACGGGCAGCGATCAAGCGGTCGCAGACCGAGTTTCGCACAGCCATGACACCCTCAGTCGTGTTGCAAGAGAGCTCGAGCATCTCAACTTCGCCAGACTTGAGCATACCCTGTAGCTGTTCCTGGGTCTCGGGGTCGAGCTGGTTCGGGCGCATAAGATCGATCTTGTTGATGACGATGGAAATCAGCTTGTTGGCGAACAAAGGCTTGATGTTGTTGAAAAGAGCGATTTGCGAGGCAACGGAGTAACCGCACTGCTCGCTGAGATCCATGAAGTAGAGAATGTGGGCGCGGAGATGGGCAATGGCGCAAATAGACTGATGCTCGATGGTGTTCATGTCCTCGAGTGCGTGGTCCAAGATACCGGGAGTGTCGACGGCCTGGAACCGGAGCATCTTGTAGTCGAAATGTCCGACATACAGACTCTTGGTGGTGAAGGCGTAGGGCTGCACCTCAACATCGGCCCTTGAAATGGACTTCAAGAATGAAGACTTTCCGACATTAGGGAAGCCAGAAATGACGAGTGTGCGGGTGTTGGGGTCGATGGACGGAAGACGACCCAAATGCTGCCTGACCTGCTCAAGGTAGACGAGAGGATCCTTTAACCTCTTGCAGATGGTGGCCATACGACCCAGCGCCGCCCTCTTCAGCTGCTTGCACTGGAAGAGCGATTGTCCGTACTTGAGAAGACGGACATAGTCGCGCGCAACCGTCTCGATCAGCGACTTTGCGGTCGAAAGCTGACCAAGCGCAATTCTGAAGTGATCCGCATCGTATAGGGTGTTGAGCAGATCGCGGTGGAACGGGTGGATGTCGGCGAGGCGGGGGAAGGCCTCGATGGTGGTGGAGAGGCGCTCGGTAAAGGTTTCGGAGGTGTACTTGACTTTTCGCGTGTAGAAGGCTCGAATTCTGCTAATCTTGAATCCAGCACGAATCTGTGTCGGCAATCTGGGGTTCAGTCAGCTTTGTCATCCTTTATGCGATATGCATTGCGCCTGCGAAGTCGCAAAGCGCCGGGTGGTAGAGGGAAGGCGCTTTGCGCAATTGTGTCGAGGAAGGCACCTACCTCCTCTGGGTCCTGGAAAGCACGATGTCCAGAAACTCCTGGCTCGTGGGCACAGCGGGGATATCCTTCCACTGGGTCTTCATTTTGGCGACTGCGGGTGTTGATGTCGAGTAGAGCCGTCTGCGCGTTGGAGAGACTTCAGGGCAAAAAAGTTCACGACGCTATCGATACCGGTGGGGAAAATCGTTCGCCTCGCCGCCGCGCTAGTCCCGCATCCAATGTTAGCGTCGTTTGTCCGGGCAGTTGCACCCACCCATCACGCGCCTGACAACACCATAGTCCACATTTCCACCATTATATTCTCGAAATCACGTAGTACGTTCGAGCCGCAGGACTCGGCGCTTTCATGTAGTCGACAGAGCTACCCTACTCTTGGGGTAACTTAGCAGTATGAACAGATGTATAATTCGGCGCAACTAGCATTGACCGCCGGCCTGTTCCCAGGACAGTGGCATGTCGAGCGGCTGATGGCGCGAGCGATGCCTTTCGCGTTGGCGTTCTCAGCTTCTCTTTCTGCCCTCATCCCCTCAAATATGTCCAGATAGATTCACTATGAACACCACGGTGAAAGAAGCTGTCACCCGCTGCCAGTTACCGAGCTGCGCGTGGCTCTCTTCAACTAACCTGACAAACCTCATCAACGTGCCACCCCTATTACCAGATTCAGATCTCTCAGGTATCGGAGTGAGTATCAGGACTCAGCCTGTACCAACGCGACTGACTCCGGTACGATAGGTCATCTTGGGTTTCTCGATCTCAGCATACCTCACATTACTCCTACGCATTATCCACTATATCACTGTCCACAACGTCCATCAAACAAAAGGCGCAGCAAGCATCCGCATCAATGCAGTCGACCATCGAATCCTCACTTTCATACGCTCACGTATCTTCTCATGGACTCCCAGCCGACGCTTCCAGTACGCCATCGAAAAGTCCGTTCTGATCCTCAGCGATCTGAACCTAGTCACCGGTACCGCGATCCTCATCGCTGGTTACTCGCAACTAAAATGTGGCATCTCTGCGTATCATTGGCAGATGATGGTCTTCATTTCGTGGTTCGCCAGTTTCGCTTTCGTCTCCGCTACGACCTTTCTCGAAGGCTGCTCCCAGACTAATAAAAGCATGCGACTTATCAGACTCGTCTTTATGGTTCTACTTGCTTCGTTATTGATTGCTGCTTTGCTTCCGACGGGGTCGAGGATGTGGCTAAATGGGTATCCGGACGATGGTGAGGGTTTCTATCCCAGTTTGAGCGCTATTTGCTTCTACAAAGAGCTTGGGATGCGGTCGTTCTTACGGCGCGGTCCTAAGATATGGTCCATGATCTTCTCGGTGGTTATCGTTGGTGTGTCTTTTGTTCGATGTGGTATACAACTACTTGATCGAGGTGGGGACGTGTCTCGCACATGCCTTCGGACGTTACCTGGATCGAAATTCAAGCGCTTCCTCAAATTCTTGGAGGACAAGACATCATCTCATACGATTCAGGCATATATCTGGCACGCACCATACCTGCTCTCGTACACTGGCTTCATCATCGCCCGAGCCATCTACGATGTCTCTGAGTCAATGCTACTAGAGATCCTCTGGCTGACATTCGCAATGGCATGGGGTACCATCAAAGTCTGGGATACACGCGCCGCAGCCTCATGGAACTATGACGGCTACAACTTCACGCTCAACCAAAAGGTCTCCGAAGAGAACTCCTGGGGTTTCGGTCAGACTTTGCCGTTGATCTTACTACTACTGCCGCTTCTCTCAATGGCCCAGGCGTACCTTGACGACGATGCAAAAGCACAAGAAGCGTTGCGAGCGGACCGGGATACATTGTCTCCACCTGGAACGGCTGCCGTTGAAGAGACGGATGACCCAAGCGCCATAGACGCAGATGTCTCCAATCTACAAAACCGCAATCGGCTTGTGAACCTTCCAACATACCCCTACGAGAACTTCGCCTCGCACTCCTGGTATCACGATCACATAATCCTCTTGGTCTTTCAGATCATCATGGTCAGCACTGTCGCGCTTTTCTTTCTCACGCGCTTAGCAGACATATTCGGCATTTCCTCTATCCTACGCAGTAGACTCTTCGTCATCTGGATCCTAGCTATCTTACCGCTGGCGTCGTTCATTTACTTGTCAGCATGGTATATTGCAGCTTTAGTGGTCGGTACGTGGCCTGGTGTATGGAGACGGTTTTCCAGCGAGGACGAAGAGAGGAGAGACCAGACAAGAAGAGGGCAAGTGGTGCACTGGATATGGCGCGCGGGTCTCATAACAGGGTGCTTACTGTTTACGTTCTTTGTCAGTCTAGAATCTGCCGGACCGAACTCGCTGTTCTCGTATCTGAGATGAACTCAGGTAACGTTAACTCTGATTTATCTACGAATGTCAATAGCTCTATCGTACGACTCACTCATCCTTGATGATTCAGTCCAGGACCTGATAATGAGCATCCACCGGATTCTTCCCATTAATCGTAAGAACATCCTGAGGACACGCACTCATCACTACAACCACATCCCTTAGCGCTTCCAAAACAACACAGTCTCCAGCCTTCGTCTTCGGCTCTTCGAAACTAATGCCTCTCTTCGCTCCCTCACCCTCCTGCGTAATAGGAATGTTCATAAACAAATTGAACGGATCCGGGACTCTGTATCCCATCTTGACTTGCAGGTCTCCAATCGCTTCCTTCTCCTCAGCCGAGAGAGACGAAGATGTAGTCAACTCGTGCAGAGCATCCCAGAAGTTGTCTGTGCAAGACTCATGGTATCCATTGACGCCCAACTCACTATACCGCCATCGATCACACGCTGCGACCAAAGTGTCGTGTACACCTGGACTTGTATCTTCCACCAGCTTGACCATCGGCGCCCTCTTCTGGCTGACCATTACATCACCTACTCCCGGCGTCACTTTCAAAAGTGTGGCACGGCAGTGGCACATGGACATGTATTCGGGGGCGCTGGCAGCGGCGTTCGCAGTAGCAGAGTATTTGGACGGCGAGTCGGAAGTCGCGTTGGGGTAGAGCGGTGCTTCGACTTTTGAGGACGCGGTGGTGAGGGTGGAGGAAGGGAGGGCGAGCGCCCAGGTATCGACGACTTGGTTTCCGTGCGTGTTTGTTATCTTTATCTTTTGACTGGTCCTGACGAGGGTGGCTGCTCCGCGGCGGGCGGGAACAGTTTGGAGGGAGGTCATGGTGCGGTTGTTGGGATGCTGTAGTCTGTAGTCTATAAGAGTTGATATGTGAGTATGCGATAGACCCAAGCTGCTACTTGGAAGCAGGTGAGGTATGCCATCATATGTATATGCGTACCCCACTTGTGCTGTCGCGTCAGGTCGTGGGACGGCAAGATAGGGAGATAGGAAGATGACGTCCGAAGCCTATGTCATCCTTCGAGCATAGACTAGCGCAAGAATGGTGAAGTTTTTTGAATCGCCAACGACAGCTCTGGGTCGTGGCTACAGTGGAGCGATTGAGTTTAGGCGCGCGGTGTGAGCGCGTAGCATCGAGTAGCAAACATGGTGCTGACCTCGGGAGGCATCTCTTAACCACGAATATAGTCCAGACGAAATCTTCTATAAGACACGTAGGTTTGAGCGCAATATATGAAGCAGGCAGTGTCCGGTGAAAGCGAAAGTAGAAATTGGAGTTGCGACATCGAGGTACCACCTGCACTGCAATCGCGCGTATCACGTGTCAAGAACGCGGTTTCCTGGAAACGACACCCTAGCATTCCCGAGCGCCGCAACCCAAATTATCCCCACCACAGCTCGACTCCTTTACCGCCAACCCGCACCATTCCTACCCACTCCCACCATGGCTGCCCTCGCCACCAAGACCGAGTCGCAGAACATCTTTACCAAATTGAAGTCGAAGCCCGCGAACAAGGTGCGTCTTGCAAGTAGACAGATACTCGGTCAATGCCTAACACATCCCTAGATATGCTTCGACTGCGGCGCGAAGAACCCAACATGGAGTTCCGTACCATTTGGCATCTACCTGTGCCTCGACTGCTCGTCCAACCATCGTAACATGGGTGTCCACATCTCCTTCGTACGATCCACCAACCTCGACAGTACGTTCACTCCGATGCTCATGGCTATACAAGACACATACTGATTGAGGATAGTCTGGCAATGGGATCAATTACGAATCATGAAAGTGGGCGGTAACGAAAGCGCTACCAAGTACTTCCAATCGCACGGAGGCTCTGCTGCGCTCGCGAGTAAAGACCACAAGGCCAAATACACCAGCAATGCCGCCACCAAGTACAAGGAGGAGCTCACCAGGCGCTGCGCCGCGGACGCCAGGATGTAAGAAGCAATTCTCTTACACGGTAAACTGGGCTAATCCGATTCTACCAGGTACCCCAACGAGGTCGTTATCACAGATGTGCCTGAAGTTGGCACCGACGGCACCAACACGCCAGCCAATGACGAAGACGACTTCTTCTCCTCATGGGATAAGCCCGCCATCAAGCGCCCGTCGAACCCACCCTCGCGTACTGGTACACCCAAGATTGGAGGATCACCCTTCCTGAAGCCTGGCGCCAACGGCAATGGAACAGATCGTCCCAAATCGCCACTCGTTGGCGGTGAATCGAGCACACCCGCTGCAAAGCCCGCTGCCGTACGAAAGACGACCGCTGGCGCTGCGCCGAAGAAGAACATTCTGGGAGCCAAGAAGAAGGGTCTCGGAGCAAAGAAGGTGGTTGCCGCAGATGGAGGCCTAGACTTTGAGGAAGCAGAGCGAAAGGCCCGTGAAGAGGCTGAGCGCATCGAGAAGTTGGGCTACGACCCCGAAGCCGAAGCCGCTGAGGCCGCAGCGGCCACCAAGTCGAAAGCCCCCGAAGCATCCGCCATCGTCTCCCCGACCCCCGTATCACCGCCACGAGGTGGTTTCGGCTCCACCTCCAAGACCGAGCGCTCCAGCCAAGATATGGAAAGGTTAGGCATGGGCGTACAACGTCTGGGCTTTGGACAGGTAGGTGCAGCGAAGAAGGCTGCACCGCAGAAGAAGATGGGTGGCTTCGGCAGTGTAGGCAAGCCTGCGCAGGATGACGGCGAGAAGTACGCGCGAGACAAGTTTGGTACACAAAAGGGCATCTCCAGTGACGAGTTCTTTGGACGCAACGCATTCGATCCTACTGCCACCGCGCAGGCCAAGGAGAGGTTGTCAGGTACGTGATATCTATAAAACCATGCACGTTTCGGTTACTAACTCGCCATGTAGGCTTCGAAGGCGCGAGCGCTATTTCCTCCAACGCATACTTTGGCCGACCCGAAGACGAAGTCGGCGACGAAGACTACGGCGACCTCGAAACCGCCGCCAAGGACTTTGTCCGCAAGTTCGGTCTTACCGCTGGCGACGATCTCGAGAATCTGACGAACATGCTCGGCGAGGGTGCGACGAAACTGCAAGGCGCTGTTCGGAACTACCTCAACTCGTAGGATGACTTTGTGGATGACGTTAGGGCCGACTACGATGGGCGTGCGGCCGTGTACTGAACATACTCCTCCGGTGTGTGGAGAGCAGGGCTGGTTACCATGTGTAAATCTTGTCACAGACGTCAAAGAAACGGGTGTGGGCGCTTGGTGCATTGCATGGAGCGGGCGGATGAAAGACCATGAAGCGTGGAGTTGGCCGTACATTTCTATTGCGCTGAAGACGTGGGCTTGGGAATGGGTGTTTGGGAGTATAGACAAACGCAACTAAGAGTCCCTTCAATTCAACCTCGTAATCTCATTTCTAGCATTATCGAATGTGTAACTCCGAACGCCAGACATAAATAGCTAAACAATGAATTAGATAGCGCTCCAGATCCAACTCCCACACCAAAATCTCCATCTACACCCTCCGCATATCCAATCAATCAATCCTCCCTATCCCCCCAAACATCAGCCTCCTCCCTCGCCACAGCATCCAAATCAATCATCCCCTTCCCCCTGCCGCTTCCTCCCTCATCGCCATCGTCTTCCTCACTACTACTCTCCTGCCCCCTTGCTTCTTCCCGACTCATAGACCCCCACCCCGCATCTTCATCCTCGTCGTCTTGAGGGAAAGCAGGCGACACAGGAACGAAGTCGTCCATGAGGTTACTCGGGAGACCGGCGGGTGCGGGGCGTGGATGAGAAGATGAGGGTGGGGAGGGGGAGAGGGGCATCATTGCCATTTCGGGGTGGTTGGATAGTGGTGGTGTGGAGGGGCGGTTTGGGGGTGTGGTTGCAGCGTGACGGGATGAGGACGGTTCGGCTTGGGGAGGTGGGTGTGGAGAATGAGAGATTTGAGGTTTGTTGCTTTCTTTCGAAGAAGGCCGGACATCTTCTTGCTTCCTCATCTCCTGCCTTGGTGCAGGCGCTGTTTTCACAGCAGCAGAGGTATCAACCTGCTGTGTAGGCGGCAACTTGGCATGATGCTCCTGCTGCTGTTGCTGCGAGAATGGGAAAATGGAGAAAAGGCTTTGGCTCAGACTGTGTCTATTCGGTCCGCTGGGTCTTTGTTCTTGTTGGAGTGTTTCTTCCCTGCTTCGAGGCTTGTTGGGTGGTGGGTGCGATGCGGAGTGTGAGTGCGAAGGAGCCTTTCTGTTGGACACTGGACTGGGCGGTTTCGCAATAGTGGCTTCTGGCAGAGAGGCTTCGCACATTTCGCAGGCTGTCAAGGCGGGATCGTTGAGGAAGGTGCAGCGTGGGCATTGCTTTTTGAGATCGGGTGTTGATGGGCGCTGAGATGGGGAAGGTTCCTGGGGTGGTTGTGCCTGTGGTCGGGGAGGTTGGCGTGGAGGTGCTGGTTCGTTCTGGGTAGGCATCTGGTAGCCTGGGCTGTATCTCTGTGCGGTTCTGGAGTTTGGTGGCGCTGTGTCGCGTTGTCGACTGGTAGACGATGTACCTGCACTCGCTCCAGCGTTTGGATTCGGGTCCACTGATATTACGACCTGTACGTCTCGTTTCGTACCACACTTCATACACTGACACTGCCGTACAACGCTCTTCGTATACGTATCTGTGACCTCGGTCGGTGCATCGAACCTGATCTCAAACTTTCCTGGCTCACCGAAGCCTGGCGTATTCCTGTCGTTTCCTCTCCCTTTAGCATTCGCATAGCCTGCTCCTTTCGCCACGATTGGTATGATAGGGTCGACTGCTCCGAAGATGAGATGATCCACAAAGGGGATCAACATTAGTTTCCCGCTGGTCTTGATGTGATGGTCGATTTCCGGACGAAGCTGAAACGAGTCGATAGACTGTAGGACGCGGAAATACTTGTTGAACATGTCGCCGTACCATTGGCGAGCTTGAACACCCTGCTGCAACAAATCTTTCGCAATATTCCGCGGCGCAGGACTTGGCCACAGTGCATCGATCAAATGCTTCTCTTTCAGCGCTTTCCTTACCATCAAGTCTAGTCTTGCGCATTCATACAATCTCTTCTCCAGTCTTTCGTGCAACTCGTACTTTGCGAATCGTATAACCAAGCCTCTCACGAATCCAGCATCGAGGTTCCATTTTCTTGTAAAGTAGTCCAGAGATTCCAAATCTTTCTGCGCCTGCGCGTTCGCGGGTCGGACTTGGAGCGGTGAGAGTTCATGGCCCATGGAGATCCATCGTTCAGTCTGCCGTGGAAAGGCGGTTGCTGTTGACCAGAATGAGCGGATGGGATAGTACTCGGCTTTGAAGTAGTTGTAGACGAAGTCTAGGAAGTCGGCTTCTGTGAGCGGCATTGCTGCGTGGCCGCGTGGGATGTCCATGATGGGTGTTGGTTGTGGGTGGCGAGACGTATGAATGTCTCAGGCGTGGAAGGCAATCACAAAATCATTCGTGACGGGAGATGAAGACTTTGGCCGCAGATGTGGAGGTAATCGAAGCGCTGTTGTGACCTAGCGGCCTGAACTATGCGAAATGTTGCTGCCTGGATGAAGTTAAAGATTACGCGTACAGGAACAACGTGGGAATTAACAAAAGTGACGATGCCTATTTGAAGCTGCGCCACAGCATGTGATGTGTTAGAGAAGCGCTTGGAAGTCCGACTGCTCTGCTTGTTCTTGTGACCGGGTTTCTGGACACGCACGTCATTGTGTGGCGGTGGCGGTGCTCGCACCTTCCGCGTCGGACCTGAGCGCCCTCTTTCCTCGACATTCCAGAACTCCAGAACTCCACAACAACACGCTCGTCCCATATTCGCAACACGCCATCGACGCCCATAAAGATGGGGTATCAATGCGCACTCACCTGGCGTCGATATTTTCGTCTCTGGGGAAGAACGGGATATTGCGCAGGTGTTTAGTTGGTGGGAACACAGAGATCGGGCTTTCGACGAAACCAGGAAAGGATTACAGAGCATCCTAGCCAGAACATCTACAACTCGACTGCCTTTTCTCGTGGAAATACCTCAACCTTATCCGGGTCATACCATCTGGAAATAGCCCAGCCTTGTCAGGGTCATATTGAGGTATCCCTTATATGTGCGTGGAGTATTACCTCGGCTTGGTAGACAATCCGAAGGAACTGACCTCTTGAGAGACCAAGAAAAAGCCTCAGGAACGGCACATCTAGAATAAAACTCTCCTTACCTTCACGACACTAACCATGTTTGAAGGTGGTAGCATGATCGTTCCAGCCCAAGTCTTGCGCAAGGGTCCGTGGAGGTAAGGGTTGAGCAAGGGATTTCCTATTCAAAAATGATCTGGCTGATCGGTGTACCGCATCTCACTTTCGAAGCTCTCCGATACGTGGAACCCCTCTTCATTTATGTTGGAATCGGTGTTCAGACCCTGATAAGAGGCTGTCGACATTGACGCACATGGCTCGCACGGGGTATACAGCGATCTACCTGGAGATCTCGGCAGCCCACGCTGCCTGCTGCAAGTGCACCCGCATGCGTGTATCTAGCACACGCCCGATTACTAGACGCCGTTGACTAGTTAGGAGGCTGGCGAATACACTTATACTTGGCTTGGTCCCTCATTGTCACACAATCACATTAACCGTCCCAATCCCGACCTGATCTTCGGCGGTCCGTATGTACAATGTCTACAATTTCTACCACTACAACGGAGAAGGACGAGAAGCCCGAGCGGCTCGATATGTCGGATGGTTTGCAGATCGCTCAACCTGAGACATATCCCGAGGCCGTCAACCGCTACTCTGCTAACGGCGATACGAAGCTGCCACAAATCAACGATGATGACGATGGTGGACGCGGTCGTCTGCCGCGGACGAGGTCCTCACGCCTGCGGGGCTCTCACGACATTCTTTCGTACCGTACTGCATTGGACAGCGATCAGGATCAAGCCCCTCACATCCAGGTCCCTCCTGATATGTGGAAGAAGTTCTTCGCTCACAGGCGACGCAAATACTGGTTCACCATTGCCATGTCATTCACCATCGTTGCTGCACTTGTAGGCACCAGTATAGGGGGAGGACTTGTGGTGCAAGAGAAAGCCGACAAGTAAGACATGGTTCTAGTTCTTTGACATTGTCTAATGCTTGAGTAGGAAGGCCGAAGCACTTGCAGCGGAGCAGGCTGCGGCGAGTTCGAGCATGGAGCTGTTTCCAACACCCACGTCGGCGAGTCCATCGGATATTTCAGCGGATGCCCCATCGGATACTCCAACGGATAGCCCGGCGGCTGCAACTGAAGACACAGGGACGTACTACTCTGCGAGACCATTTGGCGCCATCCAGTCAATCAATGCAACATGTCCATCCACGCTCCTCATCTCAAGTCGACTGGAAGGCAAGAAGTCCGATATTAGTGGTCGGTATACCTACAACTGTCTCGACAGCACCAACATCCTCGACACCATCCTCATGAGCTTCACCGCATACACCCTGGAGCAATGCGTCGACGCGTGCAGTCAATACAGCGCCATGAACGCAAGCAGTGCCTGCAAAGCCGCCGTGATTAGCTCTGACTTTAGTACAAGGTACGAGACTGAGAATGGCGCGAATTGCTGGCTGAAGAGTGGCAGTGGGGATGCGAGTACGGGACAGAATGGGTATACTGCGGCGGTGCTGCGGGAGGATTAAGTGCAAAAAGAAGATGTTGTCTATCGTTCACCATTGTAAAGATCATTACCGGCGTCTGTCTTTGTCCACATGATGGACGGCTTGGGGTTTCTTGTTTGCAGAATTAGCGATCGTTTGAAGTGACCCCGTCACGACCTGTTCTATACCAATACCAGTCGTTATAGTTTTGTGTTTTAACAGCACCTCATTCAAGGAAGCACTTTGATGCGACGTTGACGTGAGGTCGCCTAATTTGCATGTTTCCAGCCTAACTCAGGCTGCAGACTTGTTTAGGTTGTCCTCGTATGAGGTGTGAGTGTGGGTGGGCTGCTAGTCCGCTGTAGTTTGCACGAAGCCGATCTACACTTCTGGCAAGTCTCATTCGAGTGCCCTTCCATATCAGAATCCATGAAATAACACAGGCAGTTGATTACTAAGAGCAAGCC